GTTGTGTGGTTCAGCTGTGGGGGAAAGTTGTGAGTGGGGTTTTGTGTGAGGCCCATTGTGAGTCTGAGTGTGGGTGAATGGGGATGTTTGCGGTGTAATGTGTGGGGCTGTTTGTGGTGTAATCTGTCTGTGTGGATCAGATCTGGCGCTTCCATTAGGTCAATAAGGCATGACCTAGAGCACTCTTTAAGACGGGGCACTAGTAGCGGCTGTACTGACCCTCAGGACATATGAGCATATGCTGGTGGGCTGTGATTAAAATATGGGGCTCTATATGCAAGCGGCAGTAGCAATAACACTGCTAATTTAGCGCCTTCCCAATTTTCAGGCACACTCAAGTCTATGCCCAGACAACAAGCCTGCAGAAGAGGAGGGCAGCGCAAGTGCACAACATCCACACAGAGGCGGCTCTTTAATTAGGCGGTTTAGGCCTCACCACCTGTCACCCTGCCACCCCACCTGTCACCTCCCTTTCACCCTGCCATCCCACCTGTCACCACTTCTAACCCCACCTGTCACCCCCTCTTACCCTGCCACCCCACTTTTCACTCTGTCACCTCACCTCTCACCCTGCCACCCCATTTGTCCCCCCTCTTTCACCCTGCCACCCCACTTCTCACCCCTCTCTCACCCTGTCACCCCACCTGCCACCCCACCTCCCTCACCCACTCTCACCATGCAACTCCACCTGTCACCTCCCTCTCACCTTGCCACCCCACCTGTCACCCCCTCACCCTGTCACCTCCCTCTCACCCCACATCTTACTCTGTCCCCCACCCCGTGACCCCCCACACTATGTCACCCCCCCCTTACTCTGTCACCTCACTCTGTCGCTCCCTACACACTAGGTCACCCCACCTCACACTTTCACTCCCTCACACTACGTCACCCCTCTTATTCCGGCACACTCTGTCACCCTCCCTCTCACTATGTCAACCCCCCTACATTATGTCCCCCTCCCTCTCACGGTAGGTCTCCCCCTCCTGCAGTGCCACCCCTTCACACTGTCACCCCCATTATGTAACCCTCCCTCACATACTAGGTCTCCCCCTCACACTAGGTCACACCCTGTCACCCTCCTCCTCACGCACACCACCCACCCTGTGACCCCAAGGGTCACCGACCTGTACTCTGCTACCTCACTCTGTCACTCCTACACAAGGTCACCCCACCTCCCTTTCACCCCCTCACACTGTCATCCCTCTTATTCTGCCACACTCTGTCACCCTCCTTCTCACTATGTCACCCCCCCTCTTACTCTGACACCCCCCTCTTACTCTGACACCCTCCCTCTCACTATGTCACCCACCCTCTTACTCTGACACTCTGTTACCCACCTTCACTATGTCACACTTCCTCTCACTCTGTCACTCCCCCCTTACACTAATGTAACCCTCTCTCACTATGTCACCCCCTCTCATACTAGGTCTCACCCTCTCACATGGTCACACCCCTTCTCACCCTGTCACCTCTTCTTACTCTGTCACCCACCCTGTGACCCCCCCACATTGTCACCCACCCGTACTCTGTCACCTCACTGTCGCTCCCCACACACTAGGTCACCCCACCTCACACTTTCACCCCCTCACATTCTGTCACCCTCCCTCTCACTCTGTCACCCCCATCACACTATGTCACCCACACTCTTACTCTGACACTCCCCTCTTACTCTGTTACCCACCTTCACTATGTCACCCTTCGTCTCACTCTATCACACCCCTTACACTAATGTAACCCTCACACTCTGTCACCACCTACACTATGTCATTTTCCCCACACACTCTGTCACCCCTCTCGGTGCACACTGTCATCCCTCCATACACATTGTCACCTCCCTCCATACACACTGTCTCTCCCTCCAAACACACAGGCACCACTCTCCGCACACGTAGAGACGTAGAGGAGGTACCATGCTGACTTAAATGGGTTGCTTCCTGATCACCCAACCCCCACCTGAGTATGTGAGGGACGGGGAGGGTTGCTTGCTGCATGTGTGTGTGTATGTATGTATTAGCTGGTGGTGGGTGGTGTGTGTCTGTGGCCTATACTCGGACTGAGTATTTTAGCAAGTATTCCCTTTCCCTGGAACAGGAGGTTTAGAATGATTTTAGATAAAATCCCAAACACCAGCCGGGTAAAGCGTGAACAACCTTTATTCAGCAACAGGCTAGTTTATACACATATCCCTAACAGGGAGTCAACAAGGCACGCAATACATTCCCCTACCCCAGCACCTGGGTGTCTGGGACATAACTGAATTACAACTAGATAATTTCATCAACAACAAGACACTAGGGTGCCGTACAACAGTATCCCTAAAATAACACATTTCCCCCAGGTTATCTCCAGAGAATATCCCCAAAAAGCTCTGGACATGAGGAGCAATCTGTCCAAAAAACTCATCAGAGGAGTCTAGTTTGAGAAATCATTAAGGGAAGTTAGACTGGGCCGCGACCAATCTCCGATCCAGGACTGGGTTCCAGGCTGTTTGTTGGTAACTCTTGAGCAGTCACTGATGCAGGCTTCCTGTGACTCTGGAGCAGGGAGCTCCCTCGAAACTTTGATGTCATTGGATGCCTGGTCACCTTCTTCTTACAAATAGCGCCCTGTTTGATGGTCCTGGAACCGAGTACTACCCAATTGAAGTTTAAATGAGCTTTCTGACAGTATGTGTGTATGTATTGGGCAGTTGTGTGTGTGTATGTATTGGGCAGTTGTGTGTGTGTATGTACTAAATAGTTTCCAAGTGTGTACTGGGCAGTTTGTGTGTATATAGTAGGTATTTATTAAAATCTGATTCATTTCTCAAAGGAATCAAGCATTGCCTTTCCCTCTTGCCCCTGTCTCTTTCTTACTATGTGCCTATCTTAATTAAAAAAAGAAAAAGCAGGTAGACACTTGGGGTCTATTAACAAAACATTGATTTCATGATTTTGTTTTAAAAATGTAGGTCAAAATAGCAAAGAAAAAAACTTCTTAAACTCAGATGAAATGGAAACTTTATCCAATTTTTCTATTTTTACCTCATTTTAGAACTAATCGTTTTAAAAAAATAAAATAAAAAATTCAAACAGGAAATACCGTGAAAAGGGCAGAAGACTCTAACAAAAAACAAACAAACAAAAAAAAAGTGACAAAATGGAAAAATTAAGTATAGAAGAGTAGCCAGAGATAGAGAATGTAAGTGGAGGGAAAAAAACGAGAAAAACTTGGAGATGAAAAAGTGTATAGAGCGGAATGGAGCACATGGGGGAAAGGACAGCTAAAAATATATAATCAGACACAAAAACACAGTGCATGGAGGGGGATTTTTCATTCAACTCTAAACTGTAGGACAATAAAAACAGAATTTCAAAATTTAGAACATTTTGGTTTGAAAAATGTAGTGTTTAGTGAATAAATGTCTGGCAGAATGGAACTCTATCTCATGATGGGGTGTTAAAATGGATCTTTGACCAGGGTGGCAGAAATCCTTGCATTGGCCCTGGTGTGGGCTTATAATGAGTGTATTTACAGGAGTAGGGCTTTAGTGTGCCTGCGGGACAAGGAAATAGGGGCTATGGTGTTTGTGTGTGTGTGCTTGTAGGGGATAAGGGCAAACGTTTAAGGGGGATAAGATGCTAGGTGTGTGATCTAATCCAGGCTGTGGGTTATTACTGAAGAAAACCTTGCCAGAGAATGGGAAAATCTGATTACTAGTTGTATCTAGTCTGTACTTCCAGTGCATGCAGACCGCAAGCATTGCTCTATCAAGCCAGTGCTGGGTTTAGAATCAGAACACTGCCATTGTAACCTGCAGTAACACTGGTGCACTCGGTCTGCACCTGCAGGACGTACAGGCTGCAACTTCCCTGGGCCCCTTTCCCCCGGCATTAAAATGCAGTTGGGCGCAGAGAGCCTCAGTCCCTCAAATCATGACAGAGTGCCTGAGTGCTCGGTCTCCCAAGAGCACAGTGCAAGGTCCCAGTGTGCATGAGGACTTGGGCAGTTGTCTTTGATGGGGGTTCTGTGCAATTTTGTCCTTTGGTTCCTCCCAGCTGTTCTACCAGCCTGAAATCAGTGTTAATTTTGGCAGCAACTTTCAATGTATTTTTAATCATAGTCTTTTGACTAAAAAGCCGTTTTAGTCGTATTTTTGTCACCTGAATTTTTTTAGTTGATGAAATCTACTGGGGTTAGTCGACACAACTAAATTTAATGGGGTTAGTTAAAGGGATACTATAGTACCATACAGTACAAAGCTGTATTCCTGGCACTATAGCTCCCCCTGCACCCCCCACCTCCCAACCCCCCCCAGGCTGGTTAAATAAAAGGTCGAAAACCCTTTATTTACTTATCTGATCCCAGTACCACAGTCACTCAGCACTGGATTGCGTCTCCACCCCCTCCGATGTAGACAGCCAACGTGGACAGTCAATAGAGGCTGACTTAGTGCTCCAATGTAAATATTGCAGTTTCTCTGGAACTGCAATGTTTAACATTGCAGCACTAAGTGCAATAGTGGAACTGCACCCAGACCACTTCAATGAGCTGAAGTTGTCTGGGTGCCTACAGTGTCCTTTTAAAGCCACTGTCTCTTTTGCCCCTTCCCCAGCCCCTCTGTTTCTCTTTTTGTCCTCCCAGCTCCTTTAGGTGACTCTTGCCCAAGCCCTAGTCTGTCTCTTTTGCACCTTCCACAGCCCTGCCTGGTAACACCTGTAATGGCAGTCAGACAGCCACTAGAGGTGCTTCGTAGACCAGTTCAGTGCCTCCACACTCTACATCAGGCTTCCTCAAACTCCAGCCCTCCAGATGTTGCTGAACTACAATGCCCATGATTCTATGAATGAAATAGATAGGCTGAGAATCATGGGAGTTGTAGTTCAGCAACATCTGGAGGGCTGGCGTTTGGGGAAGCCTGCTCTACATAAACGCTCCCCATAGTGATGTATTGATTCAATGTATCTCTATAAGGAGATGCTGATTGGCGCTGCGTGGCGTATTGCTGCACACGCGCAAAAGCCTCCCAATTCTTTCCTATGGATTGACTGAGACCATCAAGGTTGATGATCTCAGCCATGGAGACGGGGCCAGTCACCTCCATGTGACCGGTAACCTAAACAGCCACTCCAGGATTATAGTGTCATAAATACATGTTTGTATTCCAGACACTATAGTGCTCCTTTACATTTGAAATTCGCTTGGAATCCTCGCATTATTAATTAAATCTGTTAATGTTTAGGTCACAGCATGATATGCACTGTTTAGTGGAAAGCTAATTTACCTTTTTCACTGAATCTGTGATGTCATTAAGGACACAAGCTATGAAAAACATATTATGCATTTCAATGTCTATGCAAAAAAAGGTCACAGAACAATAAGAGATGTTCAGACATTGTAGTGCTCAATGGCTGCTTTTGTCGTTTTTTATAGTTCAATCAGGACACAAGACACCTATGCTTATGCCCACTGATTTACTCACCCTCCAGGGTATTTCACATAGAGCATTTAAGTTCTGCCAAAGTCAATGCTAATATCTTTTCTGTGCTTTTAGGCACACTGCATTGACTCAGAGAATACCATACAGAGTGAGTGTAAATACTCCAATCTCGATTCATTAACTGTGCATTCAATAAGCACAACAATAACCTCCTAGATGGTAGGTTTTTAGAGGAGGGCATGTGTAATTGTGGAAGAAGGAATAAAAAAAGTTTGTATTGTCATACTTAGTTTTGTTTTGTTTTTTTGCTGGTTTGTGTGTTTACTAACAAGGATCCCAAAATCCACAACAATGAGAGTAAAACCATTAACCATTTATGGGCCATAGGGGCAATAACTGTATTCTAGATTATCCACAAATAAGGGAACAAATCTCAGAAGGCAGGCAAATTACATTTAGTAGGTACTGTGGGCAAGTTAGACTCAAAGAAAGGATACGAAAAGAGCTCAATCTTCCCAAAAGACGATGTAATTAAATCCTCATATGGAGTTTTAGACATTTAGGCCTGCTTAAAGGTAAACTATAGTGTTAGGAAAACAAAGTTGGTATAGCAACCCCCTCCTTCACTTACCTCAGTCCAGCACAGATGTTCTTTAGCGCTGGCTTGGGTCTGCCTTCGCTCCTCTTCTGCCGACGTCAGCCAGCGGGGGAGATCTAATGCGCATGCACGGCCATGGCCGCGCTCGCATTAGGATTTCACCATAGGAAACCATTATACAATGCTTTCCTATAAGGTTTTGGGTAACTATGGACGTCCCCATGCACAGTGTGAGGACGTTCAGCATCAGTTCGGCAACTGCCTGGAAGTTCCTTATAGGGATCGACTGTTTATTGGTTGGCAGATATTATCGGCTGATATTCTGTGTTTTCAGCAATATCGGTATCGATATTGATAGCGCAGACCAGGGCCGCCATCAAGGTCATGGGGGGCACAGCAAGCGCTTACTTACCTTCCCTTCAGCTCCCCTGTCTAACACTCACGAGTCCCTCACCCGTCAGAGCCTTGCCATGGGTTACGCTCCATGCGGCACACAGGCCACGAGAATTGGACAGAGGAGCTGAAGGGAAGGTAAGTAAGCGCTTGCTGGGCCCCCTCTGCACCGTCTATGCCACCGGGCCACCATGGAATGCTATATCCCCCCTCCCTGGCCAAGTAAGAAGCAGGAGGGGGGGAAACAAAAATTAATAAAAATTATTATTATTTTTTTTTTTAAAAGCCTCCCCCTATTTTACACACTTAGCATACCTACAAACACACACTGCATTATATACACCCACTACACAAACACTCTACATTCATTATATACACACACACACTGCACAAACATACACAGTACACAAACACACACTCATTACGCATTCATTATATACACACACTGCATTCATTATATACACCCACTACACAAACACACACTCATTACGCATTCATTATATACACACACTGCATTCATTATATACACCCACTACACAAACACACACTCATTACGCATTCATTATATACACCCACTACACAAACACACCGCATTCATTATATACACACACACTACACTCATATACATACTACACAAACTGCATTCACTATATACACACACACACACACACTACACAAACATACACTGCATTCACTATACACACACTGTATTCACTAGTTAAATACTCTCACTACATCAACTACACACACACATATATTCTTGAAAACAAACATTCTAACTGACATGTATATTTTGTGCATTTACCTTAATTAAAAAAAAAAGATATGCAAAATAAATAAAATAAACATGTTCAGTTAACAGTAAATTTGTGTAGAAAAAAAATAATTTATTTTTTAAAAATGGTAAAAGTACAGAATATCGGTAAATTATCGGCTACCAGCCTGAAATTTCACAGATTATCGGTATCGGCTCTAAAAAAAATCAATATCAGTCGATCCCTAGTCCGTCTAGTGGCTGTCTGGTAGACAGCCAGTAGAGGTGGAGTTATCCCACAAAAGGTAATAATTGCAGTTTCTTAAAAACTGCAATAATTAGCATAGCAAGGTTAAGGGACCTTGGACACTGCACCCAGACCACTTTAAAGAGCTGAAGTGGTCTGGGTGCCTATATTGTCCCTTTAAAGGGACACTATAGTCACCTGAACAACTTTAGCTTAATGAAGCAGTTTTGGTGTATAGATCATGCCCCTGCAGCCTCACTGCTCAATCCTCTGCCATTTAGGAGTTAAATCCCTTTGTTTATGAACCCTAGTCACACCTCCCTGCATGTGACTTGCACAGCCTTCCATAAACACTTCCTGTAAAGAGAGCCCTATTTAGGCTTTCTTTATTGCAAGTTCTGTTTAATTAAGATTTTCTTATCCCCTGCTATGTTAATAGCTTGCTAGACCCTGCAAGAGCCTCCTGTATGTGATTAAAGTTAAATTTAGAGATTGAGATACAATTATTTAAGGTAAATTACATCTGTTTGAAAGTGAAACCAGTTTTTTTTTTCATGCAGGCTCTGTCAATCATAGCCAGGGGAGGTGTGGCTAGGGCTGCATAAACAGAAACAAAGTGATTTAACTCCTAAATGACAGTGAATTGAGCAGTGAAATTGCAGGGGAATGATCTATACACTAAAACTGCTTTATTTAGCTAAAGTAATTTAGGTGACTATAGTGCTCCTTTAAGTGTGGTTTAACATTTCATTTTTCACTTTTTTTGTCAAACTGCTTGCAAATGGTTTAAAAGAAAAAAAAAATGAAACAAACAGGCAGTTACATAAAATGGCAGTGATGGGCTTTGTTCATTGGCTAAAAGTGTTCAACTGACAATCTCAGTTGATACGCTATGTACTAAAGGGCTTAGATCAGGTTAGCTAACGGAAGCTCCAAAGGCAGTGTAACAGGTCCCACTTCCAATCACATTCCAGGCTATTTTGAGAAGCATGTGCTAATATGTATATGACAGGAGCAATCTATAGCTAGTAGGCAACATGGAATTCAACATTTCTAACACAAGATCAGCAAAGTATTCTAGCCACATTACAGGACCAGTGGGATGCAATGTGTAGTTGATATGGCGCCCAAAATAGGGATAAATGCCACCCCTATCCCAATTAGAATAAAATGAACCTGCCTTTACTTTCTGATAAAGGGGATTGACCAGAAATTGCATTGAAATATGAGAACTGCCAATTCAGCCCCACATATAGGCTGACCTTTGCAATGCCCAGGGTAGGGTCACATAGGTTATGTACAGCAGTTGGCCTTGGACAATAGTTTGTGAGAACTGTTTATCTAGAGCAGGGATGCAAAATGAAGGTATTGCTACCTGGAAATAACCTGGTCTTCCAAAAACTAAATAAAATACAATTAAAATAAAAAGTAAATTAAATACACCTCCCTTACCAGTGAACACAAACCTAAATCTATCCTGAATAGAAAGTGTAATACACATAAGTGAGCACTAGGTGGCACGAATTTCAAAGGCTTTATTATGTCTGGCCAAACAGTGCTCATAAAAACAAAAGGCTACAATGATCCTAGAGATAGGGAGATATGCTTATTCTGTATGTAGGATAGTCTGAAAGACTAAAATACGTGAACAGACTCCCTAAACCAACCCTTTGGGCAAAATAAGACATATAGTAAAAAAAAAAGTTCCTATGTACTTACAAATCTGTCTAGAAAGAATGGTTCTTTGATGGGAGACCTAAATGGTTCACATCCAAAAGGGCAAACAAGGTGGATGTTAAATAAACCAGTGTAGTGGATAGGTATATGAATGGAATTATTCCGTCATTGGACTTTAAGAGGTTATCATAAGGTGTGCACACAGCTCAGCCACAACAGAGTGATTGGCTTTTAATTTGCAACCTGGCTGCAGACAGACAGAGAAACTTTAAACAGGTCATGATATCCTTACTATAGCTCTCCCTGTGTGCTTTGTAGTTCAGATTATTTAGTACGGTTAGTGACCAAGTGTACATACATTTGATAAGGAAATCTCTTGCTGAAAACAGCAGACATGGTGCAGCATTCTGCAAAACAGGCACAAAAAAAAGCACCAAGGAGTTTTTAAGGAGTCCAAAACCTATCAAATGAATTAGAGTTGTATTGGTGACTGTAGTGTCCCTTTAAGTACACTAAAATATACCAGAATATAATAAATTATTGACCCCAGGTGAAGAAATGTTTTGGAACCTTCCTCTGACATAACTGAAATAGCATTATGTAGTCTGTGAAATGCATACGTGAAGTCTTGATATTGCTGAAGTCATAGGTTTTTTTAATTTGCATCATACAGAGGATCATGACTTGTTCCACATTTTTACGTGAAGAACTGTGAATTACATATAAACAATGCGGTCTGATTAATAAAAACACATACATAGAAGAAAAAAAAAAAAACTATAAATCACCAAGCAGTAAAACACACAGTGATATCAACTAACAGGTAAGCCACTGACATTCGGAATGGTCAGTGCTGTGATTTTTGCACAATCCAATCGCTAAAAATGTCTGGCTGGCGGTTGTGAATTTATTTTCTTCAGTTCTCAATATGGCACTATGCAGGGAATACCTGAGTGCATGTTATTATTTTTTTATACCTCCTCAGCACTAATTACCCTAGTATACATTTCAATAATTTTACCAGTGAAGAATTGGGGACCTGTCATTTCCACAGAAATGACTGTTCTCCTTTAACACCAGTGCCTGTTAGGGCAATTTGAGACATATTGACATTGTTGTAAATTTACTTTGAACAATCTTTTGTCAAGTATGTTTATCCCAATCCATTATGTGAAATAATCTCCTAAAGTGCATAGTATTATATAACCTTTGCGGATAGAAGAGCAGAAATTCACATAAATTGAAAGACCATCTGAAAGTGCACAGATCAATATTTGTTTTAAAAAAAAAAAAAAAAATTTCTGGAGGGATTGACCTGTGACTGGTTAAGATTAAAATGGCTAACCCTACTTTTCTAAAATAAACAATACATTTTCAGTTAGTGTGAAATGAAAATGTAGGTAAATTAAACTAAACCTGTCATGCATATTTTAACATTACCTAAACCGGCCCCAAATACACAATACATCATATATCACAGAGATACATCATGTATTCACTGTAAAATGTCAAGATATACTAACCTTGCCCCTGATCATGGATGTTACTCTACTGAAACCCCCTTCTCCGGTTTACCCATCCCACGCTTAGCACAGTCTCCTCTGTGATTTGCTCTGCTTGGGGACGCTCCCCCATGAAGGGCAAACCTCCGGTGTGATACCAGCATGCCAGGATATACACTCCCTAGCCCAGTGCAATATTTACCTTCCTTCATGCCTCAAGGCCAGTTTCTGCAAAAAGCCCCCTTTCCTCAAAATATATATATATATATATATATATATATATATATATAAAAAAAACTAAATTTGTCCTTGCACTCACATACTCCTTAGGTATTGCCTGGTGCATAAGCCAGCTGACAACACACACACAAAAAGTTTTCGTGATTGGATGGGTGAATGTGACTAGTTTGGGATATGGTTGAATGGTGAATGTGACTAGGTGGGTGGTTGAATGGTAAGTGGGTCACGGCTGGGAGACAGTGTGTAAGTGTGTGGTGGCTGCTTTGGGGGTGGCCGTTTGTTGTGTTGAACTTGTGAGGGTAGGCTACTTTTGGTGTTGCTTGTTGTGTTATGGACATGGGAAGACTGCTTCTAGGCTTGCATGTGTGGGAGAAATGATGCTTATCTGGTTGCTGGTGTGAGAGTGTTTGTAGGATTGCCCGTGCAGGCTGTTGGGGGCTTGCGAGTGTGTGGACGCGGCTGTTTGCAGTGTAGTATGTGTGTCATATAAATAGGGGCTGATAGAGATTGCAGTATGTGTGTGTGTTTAGTGGGATAGGTGCTATAGAGCATGCTTGGGAGATCAAGACTATAGTGTGCGATTAAGAGGAAATTGAGGCTGTAATATATGTGTGTGCAGGGAGAATAAAGGCTGCAATGTACATGTACAGGGGTTATAGTGTATATTTTGTGGTGATCAGGACTGTTGCATGGATTGCAGGGGTAGTTAGGGACTGTTGCTTGTGTGTGGAGGGGGGGGGAGGAGAGATAGTGGCAAGTATATATATTTAAAAAAAAAACAAAAAAAAAAAACCTATCACCACACATTTTTTTAATAACATAAAATAAACTAAAGTTTAATCCCCTCTACCGGAGGCTTACCTTGGGCTGGAGAATACTGATCCCTAGTTTGAAAAGCGGGCGTTACGGACCGTTCCTTCTGGGCAGCGAATGTATTAAAGCATTGCCATGGGAGCCACACCCCTTGACATTCCAATTTTCCCAATGGCCAGACCACGGCTGCCCCCACGGTATGAGAATGAGCTGTCAGGTAAGGAAGATCTTGGACATCCCCACCAGACGTGCCACCCTTCCTACGCTTACCACCCTGAGGCCATGTCGGAAATCCGGCTCTGCCTTAGCCAGCACTAGCCGTGACTAGGGGGTTACCACTGCAACTGCAGGGTATTTGTTTTTGGAGAGCAGATGGAGTGTCTGTTCTGCGCTTTCTTTTCAGTCAATTCTTCATTGACAGGTGGGAGGAAGGCCTAATTTTAAACAGGGTTATCTCCCAATCTATACAGTTACTAGCAAATCTGATAGCACAATGTAAAGATACAATTTGATGCTCATCTTAAAGAGAATAGGTTGTTACAGGCATGGTGAGTACACTTTAACATTATGTGTTTACATGTTAAATTGATGTAAAATCACCTGGTTAATTAGAGCAAAATGGCCAAGGTGGTAAAAAAAACAAAAAAACAAAAAAAACAACTCTTTAGAGTTAGAGATTAATTCCAACTCTGCTATTTTGGAATTAACATTAAAACTCCATGTTTACACGAACCATCACATTTCTTTAAAGCGTTGGTTCTTATCTTGAGGGTAAATCAATTAATGATATCTTTGCTACAGCCAAATGGTTCTACATATTGTAAAATGTAACTCTCTTAAAACACCAGTTTCTCCTATACAAAAAACACACAACACACATAATTATGCACATATACAAACAAACCCACATAACACATAATCTTCCATATTTTTAAATAATTTAGAATATAGAAGTCATCATACAGTTTCATAAATCTAAGGTAGAGGAAAGCATTTTTTCCATTACACTTCTTCTCTCACGTGGTATTCGAACCTTTAAAATATATCAGGACAAGGAGTTAAAAGTGAATCGGAAAATTAATCCTCCTGTCCAACTTGAAAAATAACACGTGTGTATGTCTCAATCTCTCAAGATAAAATGTTACAAAACTCGTAGAAATCAGCTTTTACTTAAAGATTTCCTTTAAGGAAAATAAATATTCAAGTTAAGCCCGTGTATTCATTTGGAGGTTTTGCAAAAAAAATAAATAAAACAAAACAAGAAAACTTTTTTGGTTATACTACAAACCATTTTATATTATTGAGATATGGAGGGCCGAGACCTGTAATCACTGTGTTCTGCACACATCTACGATGCAAAACTTTGCCCGGCAAGTTGGACATGGCGCACAGCTGGAGAGCCAAGTCTCTGGATGAATCTGATCCTGACGGCTTGCAAACCACTTCCCCATACAGGTCAGGCACCACATAGGCCGACAATAACACTGTTGGCACTCGCCTTCATTAAATGCGTTACAGCGCTTCATAAGCTTAATGTTGGCATTTGTCTGCATGCAGCCTATGCAGGGTTCCAGCTCCTAGGAAGATGAAAGCGTGCGTTATAAATGGTCAGTCATTATTATTTAGTCCAGGATTGAGAGGTTTATCATTGGGGACACAGTACCTAATGAAGTTAGTATGACATTCCCAAAACAAATTAAAGATCTAGATATAGGCACGGCTTCCTTAGTAAAATCTTCATAAAATCCAATGGTAGGTTTACATTTACAGCATTATGGAACATATATAAAATCATACTTTCAAGTGGTAAATAAGACTAAATATACAATAGCTTGAATAGAGGGCAAAATCAATTGCTGGGTAGCCTGTTTCTGGTGATAGTTTATGACAGGGGCATTGTGTTTATGGTTTACCTGCTCACTGGGAAGATGGTAAAATCCATTTTTTTCAATTTCAGATCTAAATGTTTCCAGAAAGAGATCACTGAGGGTCTGATGGATGACTACATTTGCTGCGTTGCGGATTGGGGCACGAACCTTCTCCTTCAATTCCCCATATTCTGAAGAATTCAATCTGGAAAGGAATGAGCAACAATGAACATTACCAACCAAGCCATTACCACCACTGATATCACAGCTCACAAGGTTCTTTTGTCATATCATACATCACTATAGCATAATATTATTATTATAGTATAAGCCGATATATATTCACAACATATTGTTCAGCTCTTTACAGTTATACAGTGGGGAAATGGAACAGTAACTGACAGGCAAAATAATTATAAATAAAACTATACGCAAAGCAATGCAACGTACAATTAATGAGATTAGCATTAAGGCGAATGATTACCTGAATTATGTTCATAATCATTTTACTACCCACCAGTCTTTAAGATACAAATATTTGATTGGCCAAATGCGAAAGCAAAGATTCCTCAAATCACATCAAAGTTGGGGAGTGGAGCAGGAGCACCTACTGTTTTAGAATATTTGTACACAAGATAATTTTAAACGGTGAAAGTAGATGGACAGGGTTACACCATAATCTGCAGTGATCATAGTGTTCAGATTGTCATTTTAAAATGACACACAGAAAAACACAACAACAAATATTACTATTGCTTACTACATCATGGTACTTTTAAAATAAATGAAGGCACATAAATATATAAACATAAAAATAAGATAATACATAATTTATAATATTCCAGTAGAAGTATCTCTTTTTCTAAATTCGTCCACTAAAAGAATTTCATGAACCTGTAGAAAAGACAGGTACCTGCTCTATAAAAAAAAAATATTGTTTTTAAAAAGTGTTTAAATGTAAAAAAATAACTCCACTTAGATGAAGGGAGAGAAGGATAACCTGAAAGTCAGATTATATTTACCTGATATTAAAAGCTGAAATGTTTGGATTAACACTGGCAACTGTTATTGTGATAAACTGTGTTGGGGTGCTGTTCTCCAAAGGGAGTTCATGTAGCCTTGTGTCAATCACTGTCAAATGTATATCTTGTTGCTGGGCCACGTGCACTGTATAAGTGGTCACTTTCATTACCCATGTGTCTGTTACAATCACTCTGGCTCCAGGAGCCCCTGTTGCAAACTTGTCAATTCTTCTGAACTCTGTATTGATTGAAGACGCAACGGCTCTCCAGCTGCTCTGAGGAAGTGAATAGTGGGCAAGAGTCTTGGCAATTGGGTGGTGGCTCCACAGCTTCCGTGACCAGTAGAAAGCAAAGATGCTAGCAATGGTGGGTACAATGATGGCAAAAAAAGCCAACACCTTCACAGAGGCACTGGCTGTGTACAAATTGTACAGTTCTCGTTCAGGAGCAGCTTTACACATCCCTATGTAGTACCCTGTGTGAAAAAACAAAACCAAAAGGATTCAACAGGGTAAATAGGAAATTCTCTTGAAAATTTTAATACAAATTTGAGTTTTATATCAATCCCATGGAAGCTCTACTTATTGGCATTATGACGGGTAGCCTAAAAAAATAAATAAATGTCAATTGATCAGAAATGTGGTTTAGGAATGTTTTGACTCTGGTTCTATGACAATCCTCGAAATTGAAATGAAAGACAGAACAGTTAGACAAGCATCTGATTTGCTGTTTTTTTTTCCACCAAAGTAACTATTAACCCCTAAAAGGACAACTGACATCAAATGTTTAATGTCTTCTTTTTTTACATTTATTACACGTAAAGCAATTTATGATGAGGTGTGTATATATGTTTGCAAAAATGTAACATATTTTAATCTAACTGCACAGCCATTTATGGTCAGTGTACAGTTATCTGATCAGCTGCTACCCAATCTAACTGGCCTACTACTGCAGGTTCACACAGAGCAATCGCAGCAGCAGGCAGGTTAAGTTGAACAGCTCTATGCAGCCATGAGATAATTTAGTGAGTATATTATTCACGTTTTGACTTTCCTTGATTTTTTTTTTTTGGATGAACCACTAAACTGTCAAAATTTTTAGTAGGAACTACCCTTTTATGGACTGCTACAGCATATCATGAACCAATCGATAGTAGGACACAAAACCATGAGCTCTCCAAACCCTAACAAAGACAGCGAGAAACTGCTGCTAGCAGTGTGTGTCAAGTATAGGAACCTGGTCCTCCCCATAAAAAAACAAAACAAAAAAAAAACAAAAAAACTCACCTTTTCCAGCACTGAGTAAAAGCTCCCTCAATCTGATCCTCCTCCACTGACATCACTCCCCCTCTTTAGTAGGTGACAGATGTCAGAGGGGGAAGGCTGAGGAGAGGACTTGCGCAGCAGTTTCCTTAGCACCATGACCACTTCAAACCAGTGAAATGAATGGCCAATGGAGCTTGGAATAGCCCTTTCACAGTGTTATGAGGGTGGAAGCATTCTTATAAGAATTACAGGACTAAAAAGTTGGAAACTCAATAGATCAGGTAAAAGAGGGCAAATCTATGTTTACCACAGTTTGTTCCCAACTCTTTCTTGGTTCCCACTCAGTAAATTAAAGTATAAGCCTTGCTGTGCTCTTGTGAAGAGATGACATTGAGCCCCTGTTATTATTTAGACAACTACTAGTTGGACTGCTACTAGTTAGACAGTTACTGTTTAGACTGTTATTATTTAGGCAGTTACGGTTTAGACTTTGCCTCTTTAGGCAGTTATTAGACAGTTATTGTTTAGACTCTTCCTCTTTAGACTGTTATTATTTAGACTGTTATTATTTAGACAGTTCCTCTTTAGACAGTCATTGTTTAAACTGTTCCTCTTTAGACAGTCATTGTTTAGACTGTTCCTCTTTAGACAGTCATTGTTTAGACTGTTCCTCTTTAGACAGTCATTGTTTAGACTGTTCCTCTTTAGACAGTCATTGTTTAGACTGGTCCTCTTTAGACAGTCATTGTTTAGACTGGTCCTCTTTAGACAGTCATTGTTTAGACTGGTCCTCTTTAGACAGTCATTATTTAGACAGTTCCTCTTTAGACAGTCATTGTTTAGACTGTTCCTCTTTAGACAGTCATTGTTTAGACTGTTCCTCTTTAGACAGTCATTGTTTAGACTGGTCCTCTTTAGACAGTCATTGTTTAGACTGGTCCTCTTTAGACAGTCATTGTTTAGACTGGTCCTCTTTAGACAGGTTCCTCTTTAGGCAGTTATTAGACAGTTATTGTTTAGACTGTTATTATTTAGACAGTTCCTCTTTAGACTATTATTTAGACAGTTCCTCTTTAGACTATTATTTAGACAGTTCCTCTTTAGGCTGTTATTATTTAGACTCTTCCTCTTTAGACTGTTATTATTTAGACAGTTCTGTCAATTTCCAGGTGCCATGCCACCACCCATTCCCAATGTGCACTGCCAGGACAGGTATAGGGGTGGCCAGAAAGTCTATCCCATGGCTGCTGCCCATGGTGGTGCTGCCCATGGTGCTGGTGCTGCCCATGGTGGTGCTGCCCATGGTGGTGCTGCCCATGGTGGTGCTGCCCATGGTGCTGGTGCCCATGGTGCTGGTGCTGCCCATGGTGGTGCTGCCCATGGTGGTGGTGCCCATGGTGGTGGTGCCCATGGTGGTGGTGCCCGTGCACTCACCCAGTGGGATGAAGGAGTGTGCCAGCATGGTGGCAGTGCTCCTCCTGATATGGTAATGGATGAAGAACATGTCCTCACTGCCCAGCCAGCCGGACAGCAGGTTCTGCACGGTCAGTCCCATAGACTGGAACTCATTGGGGGTGAACACAAAGCACACGGCGAACACCAGGTAGGCCAGAGTGAAGGTAACCTCGGGGCTCTCCATGACCGCACACCGGCACCGGGAACACGAGGAACGACTCCAGGACACTCACACTTCCGGCCAGCTGGCACTGCAGCGCGGGGCATGGCGGGAGTTGTAGGATGAACGCACATCCGCACCTACGGAATGTAGCGCAGCAGCGCGGGGCATGCCGGGAGTTGTAGGATGAACGCACATCCGCACCTACGGAATGTAGCGCAGTAGCGCGGGTCATGCCGGGAGTTGTAGGATGAACGCACATCCGCATCTACGGAATGTAGCGCTGCAGCGCGGGGCATGCCGGGAGTTGTAGGAGAAACCTGCACTTTCTGAGTTTATTAGTGCATTGATATTTTCCCAATAAAGTTTTAGTTTCCTAAAAAGGAAAGGGGCTGTTTCTCCTCCCCCACCCCCCTCTTCCTTTCATGTGTGAATTCAGTGGATGCTGGTGTGTTAATAAATGAATTATTAAATAAAGGAAATTTGTATTTGTATTGTTCCTGATAAAAATGTGAATTATAGAAATATATGTATAAATAAGTGTATGGTAAGGCTCAGGATGTGAGCTGAAACGTTGGGGTTTTTTTTTCCGTTAAAAAAAAAAAAAAATCTTTATTTTTGTTGTGCTTCAGAGTTAGCCGAAACGTTGTTGTACCACTTCCTGAAATAAACTCTGCCTTATGCCCTAGTCTACTTCTTTGTTAATTTGAATTGCTGGGAACCCGCCTCTCCCTATGTTGGTCCACGAAGTGCAAGCTATCCTTCTACTGGGCGCGTGCAACTCCAATTTGGTTAATAAAATGCGACATAGGCCCATCAAATCCATCTGTCAAAATTCTGTCAGGGGCTTCGATAGAGGCGAGGGCTGGGGGCTCAAACCCAGGATGCGCGCCCGTATAAATCGTTTTGTTCTCTATTCTGCTCTCGCTGCCCACTCACGGTCTCCCTGGTGGGTCTAGGAGTTGACAGAGAGAAGAAGCAGCGAAGTGATAGAGACACGCAGATTGTTATATTCCCTGTGTGTAGCTACAACTGCGCTGCTTCCTCTCTCGGCTGAGCCCCACCTGGGCGGGTGGGGAGAACAGAGCATCACGGCAGACATAGTAGGAGACCAGGTTGGGTGGGAGCTGCCCAAGGAAGAAGTACAGGGCCAACGTCACACCGACAGTACTGAATCAGTAGTAGTGTGTGTGGAACTGCACTCATTCCCATAAATTCTCAGTTATGTCAGAGGAAGGTTCCAAAACATTTCTTCACCTGGGGTCAATAATTTATTATATTCTGGTATATTTTAGTGTACTTAAAGGGACACTACAGTCACCAATACAACTCTAATTCATTTGATAGGTTTTGGACTCCTTAAAAACTCCTTGGTGCTTTTTTTTGTGCCTGTTTTGCAGAATGCTGCACCATGTCTGCTGTTTTCAGCAAGAGATTTCCTTATCAAATGTATGTACACTTGGTCACTAACCGTACTAAATAATCTGAACTACAAAGCACACAGGGAGAGCTATAGTAAGGATATCATGACCTGTTTAAAGTTTCTCTGTCTGCAGCCAGGTTGCAAATTAAAAGCCAATCACTCTGTTGTGGCTGAGCTGTGTGCACACCTTATGATAACCTCTTAAAGTCCAATGACGGAATAATTCCATTCATATACCTATCCACTACACTGGTTTATTTAACATCCACCTTGTTTGCCCTTTTGGATGTGAACCATTTAGGTCTCCTATCAAAGAACCATTCTTTCTAGACAGATTTGTAAGTACACAGGCACTTTTTTTTTTACTATATGTCTTATTTTGCCCAAAGGGTTGGTTTAGGGAGTCTGTTCACGTATTTTAGTCTTTCAGACTATCCTACAGACAGAATAAGCATATCTCCCTATCTCTAGGATCATTGTAGCCTTTTGTTTTTATTAGCCAGACATAATAAAGCCTTTGAAATTAGTGCCACCTAGTGCTCACTTATGTGTATTACACTTTCTATACAGGATAGATTTTGTTTTGTGTTCACTGGTAAGGGAGGTGTATTTAATTTACTTTTTATTTTAATTGTATTTTATTTAGTTTTTGGAAGACCAGGTTATTTCCAGGTAGCAATACCTTCATTTTGCATCCCTGCTCTAGATAAACAGTTCTCACAAACTATTGTCCAAGGCCAACTGCTGTACATAACCTATGTGACCCTACCCTGGGCATTGCAAAGGTCAGCCTATATGTGGGGCTGAATTGGCAGTTCTCATATTTCAATGCAATTTCTGGTCAATCCCCTTTATCAGAAAGTAAAGGCAGGTTCATTCTATTCTAATTGGGATAGGGGTGGCATGGTAGGGTCTGCCTTGAACTACATGCAAACCAAATCCTTTTTTCCCCACACAACCGACGCAAATGTTCTACTGTCCATATTCATTGTCATACCTTTAAATTCAGAGCCTTCTGCATTTCATCTTTATATACAGGCACACTTGCAAACCTAATATTCGGTAAGCCTAATTTATCCCTATTTTGGGCGCCATATCAACTACACATTGCATCCCACTGGTCCTGTAATGTGGCTAGAATACTTTGCTGATCTTGTGTTAGAAATGTTGAATTCCATGTTGCCTACTAGCTATATATTGCTCCTGTCATATACATATCAGCATATCTCTTTAATTAAAACTATACTACTGTCATCTCTCTTCATCATTATTTTTGTGCACCATTTTTCACCCTTTTTACATTTTTCTTATTTACACTTCCTTACACGTTGTTTGCACTATTAACACAGATTGTAATCTTTCATATACTTCCTTATTTTGTATGGTATTTATTTAAATTTCATAACCAATGGCTTCATTCTTCTATCTATATATATATATATATATAGCCACTTATCTAATTCAAACACAACTTAACACTGGTTTAAATCCTGTACACTTTGCACTTTTCTATCACCTACAGTGATTATAGTCGAATTTTTGTCTTTTTAAAAGTTTTAAATTACGCACATATTATATACACTTCAACTCCAAATGAGTCATTTTAGCCTATTTTAGGTTTTTTTTTTATATATACACTTTCTTCTATATATAATAATTCTGTTAATTTTTTTTTTTTTACGTGTTAAGGATACTTAATATTAATACTCTGATCTTGAGCAAGTATCTCTAATCGATAATGGAAATAATTAAGGGCATTAAGGGCATCTTTTTATACACACTTTCTTCTATATATGAAAACTCTTTGAACTTGATGTGCTTTATGTGTTAAGGATACTTAATATTAATACTCTGTGATTTTGATCAAGGATTTCTAATCGATAATGGAAATTTCTATAATCGTATACTCTGGTCTTATCTTTATATTGTATTTATGTTGTGTATATGTGTATTTTATGTCCTATATACACTTGGATGTTATGTCAGTATCCATATAAAAATAATATATACATTTCTTTTTCCTGTATCAACAAATTAATAAGTCTTTCAAAGCTCGTTTGTTTTTGGCAATTAAGTATTAGACTCTATTTCTAATTAATGTAAATAATTAAGTATTGCTGATAAGCAGTATACTACTTTCAGCTGTTAAACTACTTGCTTAGGATACTGATTCACAAGTTTATTTTATAATTGTTTAAAGTTTGTTATGTATATTGTTAAACTGATGTATGTATCAGCTTGACAAAGACCTTTTGGGGTTGAAACGTTGCGGTTCCTTATAAAGTACCTGGACCGCTATTACTTTAGTACTGAATCAGTGGCTGGCCACCTGCCTTCCTCCCACCCTCTGCAACTGGTTTAACAACATCCTATGTACTACAGAGGTATCCTTTTTTATGGTGTTTATGAATGTCTGTGTGTGACTGCTTGGGTCTGTGTATGTCTGCCTGTCTGTACTTGTCTTTGTCTGTGTGTGCCTTTCTGTACCTATGTGTATCTGCCTGTCCAGGGCTGGACTGGGAAAAGATTTTTGCCTGGGCATTTTTGAATCACAGTGGCCCAT